CTTTGAAGTCTGGGCAGCACCATGCAATTATTACTGAGTTGTCACCAGAGCATCACAGCTCTGTTCTCACTGCCTCCAGCCCGCGGCGCTCCAGGTTTAGGTCTGCAGAATGCCGCATTTTAATCTGCCTTGTTCACATGAGCAGAGACAGCTGCAGCAGAAGGGAGAGCTGGCGTTGGCCAAGCCAAACACAGCTGTTGTGCCTCGTTTTGAAACCTACCAGCCTTTCTGCTGTCCCTTTTCAGAGATTAAGCTTTATCTGTTGTACGCGAGGCTTATGTCACCTTATTCGAGAGTGGTTTCGCTGACAGCCTTTGAGTTTTTTCCTCCTTACCTCATCCTTTGTGGTTCTGGCAGCAAAATGGCTTTAATAGAAACATGGCCAGGCAGAAAGCAGAGCCGTGTAACAGCTGTGCGGTTCTGCCACGCGGCCAGGACAGGGCATGAGGCACTGAGAGCCCACAGCTGAGATTTTAGTGTCCTATCAAGGCCAGGTAAAAGTGAGCACTCCATATCACTGGGAACAGTAAACAGAAGCTGTGTTTTAAATTATGTTTATATAGCAATGATGGCGAGGTACTGGCACAGGCTGCCCAGAGAGGTGGTGGTGCCCCATCCTTGCAGACAGCCAAGGTCAGGCTGGACGGGCTCTGAGCACCTGATGGAGCTGTGGGTGTCCCTGTTCATTGCAGGGGAAGTTGGAACAGATGGATGTTAAGGGTTCTTTCCAACTCAAAGCTTTCTATGATTCTATGAGTTTAATTCCAGAGTATTTTAGCTTTATCTGAAATCCAGATGTGAGCAAAGTGTGGGAGAGGAGGCTGATGTCTGGGCTACATGGATCCAAAGCTTCTGCTGAATTGCAGCACAATGCAGCAGTGCTGAGCTGGAGCAGCCTCCTGGCCTGCCTCTGTTTGTGGCCGTGCAACAGCTAAAGCAGGGCTATGAGCAGCTGCTGTGCTGCCAAAAACCTCCTTGTGTTGGTTTATCCAGAAGGGCTTCTGCACCAAAGATAGCCTCTGGTGTGTGGGTTACGTTTTGGGTCCGCTTTTAGAAGCGAGCTGTTCCAAAAGAAGCTGAAAGTCCATCTTTCAGGTCTGTGATTACGGTAAAAGCTCAGACTGGAGTTTTTTACTGCTTGCGTGTCACTTTGCTAATGACCACTGGTTTCTGCCTCAGTTGAATAGGTTTCCTAGATTAACCAGCAGAAAGAAATAACCCTCCACCCTTGGTTCTTTCTCATTTTATAATTATCTGCAGTTTCTCCAAAGCTGTTCTTTTATCCTCATGTTTTGCTCCTGCCTGGATGTGCCCAGTGCCTTGCAATTAAAACAAAGCAGCTCCATACAGTTCACAATCTAAGATCACATCTTGCAAACCCTTGCTCATTAGAGCAATCCCACTGGAGTGAATAAGGCTGTTTCCCATCAGCTCTACTTGTTTGTGAAGTTTAGGAGGTTCTGGCCTTAAGTTATATGTTTTAAAATGTCAGCAAAATGTTCTCTGACTCATGGGTAATGGTATAATTGCTATTGTGGTGAATCTCCCAAAAAAATAGATACAAATGTGTTTATGTAACAATCAGAAAGCTCGCATTCCTGGAGGGAAGGAACAGTTGTTCTTTCGGCATCACTTGTGTTTTGGCCTGGAGGTGTCCTACATGTTGTGCCAAAAAGCAATAATGTGAGGGACATGGTCAACACTAAACTCAGTTTATTGGAATTCTTTATCTGTGCTACTTGGCAATGCAATGGGGCATTCAAAGAAGCAAAGAGTTTTTAAAATAAGGCTTTTTTTGCACCACCACTTTTTGTTTTTTTGGGTTTTTTTTTTTTCTGTAGTGTTCAGTTCTAAGTATAAAATTCAGCTTTTCTGGTTTCACTTCTGGTTTGTGTTCGATTACTCACTGCTTCTGTGCTATGTGTGCTCTGAATTTAAAAGACATCTGCTTCACTTCAGCTGTATCCCCCATTGTTAGTCTCTGCTTCCTCCTGTTATGTGCTTGCTAAAATATTGCTGGCACGAATATGCAAGGAAAGTAAATGCAAAGCATGCACCACAGATAATTGCTGATCCTTTTAAAGTGCCCAAACCTCTCGTGAGATCCGTGATGCAGAGGCTGTTAAGAAAGACAGACAGAGATTTGACTTGCAAGCAACAAGAGCAAGCATCTGCAATTACTTTATGAAAACAATCTCTGGTGAGAGTTACAAATCAATATGTGTGATGTGCTTGGTGTATTTTATTGTAATTAAACCCCACCTCACGTAGTTCCTTGGTTGCCTTGTTAGATCCTTGGCATGGGGGCAAGAGGGCAAAGGAGCAAGCCGCCTCCTCTGCAGTTGGCATCAGGCAGACAGATACTCCGATGACCCCGCAGGCTTTGCTGATTTATTTGTTTGTGTTTCCCCTGGACGGATGGTGCTGCGTGTAACCCACTGGAATCACAACTTGCTCGATAGCCAAAAAAATATAAAAATACAATGCTGATGCTCTCTGAGCTGACAGGTAGTTTGTACCAGGTAGATGTGCCCTGCTCATGTGGGCACTCTTTTGCACTGGATGGGGAAGAGGCTGGACTGCAACTCACATGTGTGCAGGGCTCTGACCCATCTGGCCAGCCAAAATCTTGGCTGGAGGAGCTGACATCCATCTGCACCCACAGACCGCCAATGCTCAGGGTGCAGCTGGAGGTTGAAGCTAAAACAGTCCTTCTTCTAGGAACACCGCCTTGGGCAAGGCCTGTCTGATCTGGAAGATTTCATGTTCTCAAGAGAAAAAAACCTTTTCTACTTCAAAGTCATGGCTTTCCCCTACTTATACGGGTTATAACAAAAATATCTTGTCATTTGACACGGTCAGTCCCAGCTCTAGGCTGTGCCGTAGCCCATTGTTAGAGAACTCCTCGTCATGAGCCCAGAGAAGGGGGAAAATAGCCAAAAAACAAAATACCAATGGAATGTATAGGGTCAGCTTGAATAGCAGATACACTTGAGATAGGCTGTGCAAACATCCAGCCAGGCCATATGACAACTGCAGGTGCCCTGCATGAGCAAAACCCATTCATGCAGCATAGCCAGCCATCATCAGGGTTCTGATCAGCAGAAAAATGACCTCTGGGGGAATGTCCCCTGCTGCTGATTTACTGCAGCCAGGTATCTCCTGGTGGGCTGGGACTGGCTGGCTGGCATGGGGCAGACAGGGGGGTTTGGTACAGCCATGGTGCCCATGGGCAGGCGGCTGCATGGCTGCCCCACACTGCTGGGGTTCCACTCCCCTCCTGAGAGCTAGGTGCTTTGCTGTAGCAATGCTATGTCTGTTTGGATGGGGTTTTATAATCCCTTTCAGGTTTGGTCTGTAAGTCTTCTGGGTAACGAATTTGATGCTTTCTTTCTTCTTGGGCTCGGTAATTGCTTGGCTGCTTTCCAGTTGATGCTCCCTATGCACAAAGAGGGAAGTGTGTTCTTTATGAAGGCTTTCATATATGTGCCTTCTGTTAAACACAATGGGGAGATGATTTGTCTGCAGTGCTTTCTGGGGGGGTGGAGTGAGGATGCCCACGGGGATCAAGGGTATGATTGGACAAACTTGCAGACACACGCAGGGCTGCTTTGGGGTGTTTGTACTGCCTTCATGGCTATGGGCATGCTTGGCAGCTCAGTGTGCCATTGGGGAAGCTGCCAGGGCTCAGTCCCTGCAAAAAGCATCCCTCGGCAGGATGCAAGAGCACTCTCTGCTCCTGGCTGCACTTTAAAGAGCAGCACAACCTCTCTGCAAATAGAGGTTGTCTTTGTACTAGAAATGGCATTATTCCTTGTGTCAGTCAGCAGCACGCTGAACAGGTCTGGATGTGAATACCCTGGTCAGGCTGGACGGGCTCTGAGCACCTGATGGAGCTGCAGGCATCCCTGTTCACTGCAGGGGAGTTGGACCAGATGGTCTTCAAAGCTTCCTTCCAACTCAAACGATTCTGTTATTCTATGATTCTGTGACTTATAGCTTGAGATGGACCTGCATTGGCCTCCTGCTGCAGTGGGCGTCCTTGGGAAGGTATGGATTGAAGGTTAGAGCATTTCCAGCATGGGGAGAAAGCTCAGTGCATGTCTGCAAAACCCTCCTGCTCTCAAGGGGAAGCGCTCCCCAGGAAGGGTGCTATGATTTCTGGAAATTCTGCCACATTTTGCAACATTTTAATTTCTACTGCAGAACACTGTGGGCTACCATGGAGAACAAAACCACTGGGGGCTGTGGTTTGGTCCAAATTTTGGGCACCGGAGCAAACCTGCTAAAACAATGAAAGCCCAAACTATGTTCGTATACTCATGCTTTGCTGCACTAACAGTTGAAGCAAAGTGACAGGTTTCCCCTTTACTCTGGAAGTGAACCTGAAGTGAACTTACACCGAGGTGTTCAAATTCTTGTACTTAAACTGAACAGAAAGAAATAGATCAGTTGTTAAAGGTGTCTTAGAGGAGATAAGTCAGCAGGAGCCTAGCTGATTTAACATTGATGCCTAAGAGGCTGTAAGTTAATCATGAGAGATCATTAACTTCCATCTCCTTTCATCCCATGGAAAAAGATTTTCCTCCCATTCTTCTGTTTTCTGACCCTTCTGAATGCAATTGGAAATAACTCAGCTTTTCAATTCAGGGAAACCTTTTAATTTTGTCTGTGTATGAAACATTTCATACCACTGTGTGGCACTTCATAGTAAATTAAATTAACTCTTCTGTGTACTCCTGAACTGTGAGAGACCCTCAATAAATAAAATAAATCTGTGCATAAGGAGAGTGTAGAAGCAGGCTGAATGTTTTCCATTGCCCTCAGAGACATGCAGATCAGCATTTCCATCACACGTCTGTGCCTGCACACATTCAGCCTGAGTCTGGACGCCACGGAATCCTACAGGCAATGGTGGGATGGGTTGATGGTTGGGCTGGGTGATTTTGGCGGTCTGTGATGATTCTGCAATTCTAACTTTTTTTCTCCTTTTCTTTCAGGTCAAAACCTGACAACCTGCTGGAGATTGACCACCGCCTGCCTGGCTGTTCCAGTTCACACACTGTGCTGTGGGAGGACTGCTCACTCTCTGGGATTCTATAGCAGGTCAGTCTAACAGCCAGATGAACCCTCCAGGTCCATGATAACTCACATTAGATGGGTGTTCAGTACAAAGCAGGACTAGGCTGTTTCCAATTCTGATGGCAGCTTGCAAGCATAAGGGTTTCCCCATGGGTTTCCTTTTGGAGGGATCTTCTGTCACTGCACTGGGTGCTCTTTGGAGTGGGCTTCTAAAGCCATTTGTCTTCCTCCTGTTGTGGGGTCATGGCTTCTGTATTAGGCAGACAATAGTGTGGATTAGGGGTCCGTGTTACAGTAGCCAAATGTGCAGCAGTAGCAAATGTGTAATTGATTAAAGAGTGAAGTGGAAAGGAACCTGCAGCTTCTGGTAGGGCACAGAGCTCCATGTTCCCAACCTCATCAGGACTTGGAACTGTTTATGGAGCTTTTACAAAGCCTACAAGATTCATTGTGCGCTTAACTGTGTCCTTTTTGCCATTAAGAACCATGAAAGTATTGTGTTCTTATGGCATTAACTTGTCTGGCAACATGGCCCTTCTGACCAAGCCTTTACATAGTCCTATCACTAAAACTCTTTCGGAGTTTGCCAGGAAGCACCCAGTACCCCCTTTCCAAAGCAGGAGGTGCTAACACCCCTGGGACATGGAGCCTTCCCCTCTGACTTTGGGAATTTCTGCTGAATGTGTGAGCAGAGCTCATGGCTGCATTCCTTTGGGTTTTACAGAAGGCACATGCAATGCCATCAACTGGGAACCACTGCTCTCCATCATCTCCTTCTCTTGCCTCAGTCCCCTGCTCTGTCTAGATTTTAGATAAACTACACCCACAGCTTCATCCTTAAGGTTTTAATGCAAAGACACACCACAGCATTTGTCTACTGAATCAGTGGCATTCCTCAATGTTTCCACTCCTGGCTTCTGTGTTAAAACGGGTAATAAAAATGCTGCTCATTTCATCTTTATTAGGCTTTTTGAAAAGTGTTAGAAAATGAGATGCTGTCTGTTTGAGAGAGTCTCAAAATTCATGGCCTCAGTTAATTCCGTGGGTAAGAAACAACCTGGAGGGCATTTTGTCTTATTCTGAGAGAATTTAAATTCAGGAACCAGTGTTTTCACTGTGAGAGAGGATGAAATTACCACCTCTTGTCTGCGAGGAAAAAGCTGCTTTCCATGACTTCCTTACAGTGCTTTAGGTGATTTCCAGCCTTCATTTCTACATTTGTCCTCGCAATACCAGATTTTGTGTGCATGTTTTTGTGAGGCAGGTACACCACCTATTGTTAAATTAGATCAGCATTTCCAGCAACAGTAATTCATTTCAGCTTGCTTACAGTTTTTCCAAATTGCAACCATCTTGGTTGCTCTAAGGTTCATTTTTGTCTAGGAGTTATCTTTCTGGCATTGCTCTACCCAGGTGAATGTAGAGTTCCTGAGGGAATGCAGATGCTGATTTGGTACAAATCCCATGCCATCAGAAATGACATCTTCTGCCCCCGGAGAAGGCTTAGACCGAGGGAAATGCTTGTGCTAAATGGGGTTCTTAGGTAAAAGACTGCTGATTGATTTTGCAGCCAATATTCTTGAGGGTATGTGGTTGGAAGGGCTTTTTGATAAGAAAAAAAACAGATTTCTGACTCTAGGTAAGGAAAGGTTTTCCCCCTTTATTTTGCACTTAATGTAATTTAAAATTGGAAAGAAAGGTGAGATACTGGAGAGTATATGTATTCACATCTGTCACTGAAGCTAATAGGAGCTTCCTCTGAGTGCAGCCCAGAAAGCCAGGTGCATTTGCTTTCAATGCCACTGGACCTTTCACCAAAGTACTGTTTTTAAAGCATTTGGTTCCACAGCAGGATTTCCCTCTCTGGTTTCCATGAAATTAATTGTTTCAAAAGCTGGAGTGGGAGGAAAGTCTTTTTGGCTGAGTCTGTATAGAAATACCACCATTTTTCTTTGTAGGAAAAACTGATGCTTTTAGCACTGTGTTTCTGTATGGTCTAATGTTTCACTCGACTATTACACATTCTTTCTTTATTCAGCCATTATTTAACACATTAATGAGGCACGTGAAGTGGTTCAATGCAGCTATTCATTGATTCCTGTTCCTTGATAATCTCAGATGTCAACACGAAGCCGCAGACCTGGCTTCTTTGAGTTCAGGACAGATTCTGGGGATACTGTAACCAAAACAACGAGATTTTGCATTGTGTCATTCATTGTCATTTCTAGTTTTGGTCACAAAGTAGGATTTAGGATTAGGCTTCTCACTAATGTGCACTTGTCCCGATGGATTGCAGAATACATTTTAGATACTTCAGCTGAAAATGATTTTCTTTTCTTGGCTACTGCATGCTCCAATTAAGCTTTCATTGGAAAATATGAAACAGAAAACTATCTCTCTCCTTTAGCTATAGCTGTAGCAACCACACAACTATAAATTTTTGGGTAGTCAATCAGTGGCTCACGAGACCCATGGAGCCATGCCTACTTTGTCAAGCTTTGGAAATCTTGAGAGGAGGTCCTGGAAAGTCAGGTCTTGCCTTGACTATATGGTTGGCTGGTTTAGCACCATGAACCTCCCTTGGGCTCCACAGGAGTAGTTTGGCTGGCCACAGACCAACTATCAGGGGAAATAAAGCTGAGAGGGCTATAAAACCATATATATTGCACTGCAGTGTGGATGAGGATTAACTGGCAGAATAACTCCACTTTATTACTTTTTTTCCCCTGTTCCTAATCTTTTCTTTGCATGGAGCAAGAGTTTATATTCTCAGCCAACCATACTTCTAGATAATACATAATCGTGGTTCCCTCTCAGTGATGAGTTTACTGCTCACTTACAGCTGCTTTGAAGGGCAGCAAGAAGCTTTTCCACATCAGCAGTGGGCATCTGTAGAAAGCAACTCAAGGCTGGTGCTTCCAGCTCAAAGGCTGTGAGGATGGGGGTGGATTTACTCTCCTGTCTCGTATGTGGGAAAAGCCTCTATGGGAGCAGAGGACTGCTAAACTGAGCTGTTGGGGGAGAGGACATAATTGAGAGGTTAAGTGAAACACTTTGAGTTCCTCTGCTCCATTAGCTCCAGGGTGCTTACCTTATACTGCATCCAGCTGGTGAGAAGAAAAGCACGTCTCCATTGAAAGAGATAATCTTGTTTTGTTTAAATCCATTTCTGAAGTTTGCATACCAATTTCTCTTTCAGACTGCCCAGTTCACTGAGCCAAACCTCTTCACAGTAGCGTATTCAGTTTCTGCTGTAACCTGCTACTGCTGCTTTCAGCCGCAGCTTTAACCACAGAAATCACAGCAAAAAAATAAATAAGTAAATAAAAATCCCCACTGTTTGCTTATTTTTTTTTCTTCAGTGACACTAGCTGCACTGTTAGCTGGGAGGAAGGTCTGGGGAAGGCATTTGACTGTGCTTGCTTCCTTAGCTAAGAGAGGCACTTGAATCTTTGTGGTTTTGCTGAGATCACAGTACTGCTGAGAACATCTGTAGAAAAGAATTAGCTTTTTCTCTCTCTCCCCCTCAGTGACAGCAAATCTTTGAGAAGGTCAGGTTTAGGGATGCTTCTGTGGATTATTTTAGCTATGCTGAAAAGAATAGAGCCCATTGCAACCAGCTGGAAATGCAGCAGTATTTAACAAGCACAGCCATTCAGTGCTATAAGATGTAGGCTTGATGGCAGCCAGACCATTCTTTGGCATTTTCAGCCATCCGTGGGCTGTTTTCTCTGAATTAACTGTGGTAGTAATAAGAGCTGTGGCCCAAAGCCATTGCCCCATCCTCTCCTATCTACAACGGACTATGCAAACATTGGACCAAAGTCCTTGTTAGAGAAATCTCTTTGTAAAGGAGAGGAACTGTGCGATGGCTCAGAGACGTGGAATGTGCTTTTTCCACTCCATAATTGCAAGTAACCTCATTTGGTAACACTCCAGGACTAAACTTCTTGCACAAGGCACCTCTGGATAGAGTTTCTGGAGGAGGCAGACACCGTGCCTCCTAGACGTGCCTCCTAGACACTCTGGGTAGTTGGCTGCCTTCATTTTAGCAGTGCTAGGGTTTACTAATGCAGACATAATTCAATTAGGGCACCCAGAGGATTGGAGAAAAGCCTTTATTATTTTTAGTCTAAATAAAAATAGTATCTCAGGCTTCTAGAGTAGTGAAAACACATAGAGCTATGGAAGATGGCTGGACAGAGAACATACATATAATTTTTCAACCAGGATTTCCATCAAATTGAACCTGTTTAATTTGGATTTGGCCAGCCCTGTCATGCCCAGGTGTGGGCAATTAGTTCTCTGTGCTTAACACTGCAGGAATGGCTGTGAGTTTGACTTTGTGGCAGTACATGCAGGGTGCGGCCTCTGAAACAGTACTTAGATGATGAGTATTTTAATCATACCCCCCTCGGTAAACAGGAAACTCCATTTTTAGTCATGAACGGATGTTTCAGTGGTACTTGGGGGATTTAAGGACCTAAAGACCCACCTAATTGTGTACCTAAATCACACAGGATCACTGGAAGCACTGCTCCATCCCGTTGCATCCTTTCATTCTCCTTTTCTTCCAGGGTCGTTATGCTGTGTTGTAGGGCAGTGTCAGTGTTTCTGATGGTCTGATCATGATGTCAGGGCTATAAGTGGTGATAAGGGCTTTGACAAGGCACAGGTTCAGCAGCCCCTGGAAGGAGGCAGGCAGCACACTGTTGCATAAAACCACATACTAAAACATGTAGCATTGTGAGACTGGGAGGATGGCTCAGTCTACAGTTCTCAGGCATAAAATAAGCCCCCCTGCCATCCCAGAGGGCAGCAAGTACTGTCAGCAGGTCAGTGAAAAGCCTTGCCCAAGCTTCCTTGGTGTGAGAAGGACAAGGGCATGCAGGACTTTCATCCCCGCCTGTCACACAAGGTTTTAAGGAGCAAGATAACTTTCTCAGCAAGCTCGTTCTGTGATTGAGGAGACTTTTACAGCACTGCTGTGACAGACTGTTTTTATAGCATTGCACTGATGGCAT